ACTCGCTGTGGCGACCCCTGGACTGGGACGAGCCGAAAGGAGAAGAAGAAGAAGATTGTCCTGGTTTACACTCATCAAGGATCGTGTCACTATATGGCAAATGATCACGGGTTAGACCAAGGACAGCACACAGCTGCATGCAAATACATCGATTTAGTCTGTAGCACGACTCTTGGGCTGTCCAGAGTAACTCTGGTGTTATTGCTGTACTTTACCGAGGATAATGATATTATCACGATGTGGTGATTCATCCAATACTCACTGAACTTTGTAGTGGAATACAACTTCTTGAGATCTATGGACATGAACTGAAGATGTGTTGAGAATATAATTTAGCAAATAACTAATATATATATATATATATATATATATATATATATATATATCTTATGACCTCTATAGAATCAAATGTTCAAAACATTTTTTTAGAAACAAGAAAAACAAGTATTCATCTGTTATTTCACAAAAGCACAACACTAAATGATTTGATGTGTTGAAAAAAACGTGACCAGAAATATAAATCTGTTTTCACAGTGACTTATGCACGTTTCGAAATGTAGAAAAGCACACTTACTCTTCAGAAAGTTTACACGAAAGAATGGCCTGGTAAGAGAAATTTTTTTTGTTTATGTCTGCATCAGCTTTGAATAATGGATATACAGTAGCACTGTACAATTTTATCCATACCAAGTTAATATTGTTAATGCATTCATTTTGTATTTTACATTAAAGTCATCTTAATGAATAGTTTGATAGTGATTTTAATTACTCAACTCCCTCCCTGCTCTGCCCGCACTCCCCACCCTTTGCCTCTGCCCGACCCCTGCCTCCTGTCACAGACTATGACCCTCCCCTCATCATCCGACATCTGCGTATTGCACAATGCACTACCTCCCTTTCCCCACAATAGCCACAAGTGCCATTGTTTATGTTGTTTATGTTGTTTATATTGTCTATACTGTTTATACTGTTCACATTACATTACATTAGCTGCTATCTTATCTTAGCTGTGTGTTTAATGCACAGCATGTTTGCATGTTTGCACTGATGATTGAGAGGAAGAAATTTCATCTATACTGCATGTCATACATAAAGCATATTTGACAATAAAGATGACCTTGACCTTAATCACCTGATTTCAATCCATCCTATCCGTCATGGACAGAGATGGAGACAGAAAAGTTGTTCAGCATGTCGGCATGGCAAAATATTTTACTGAACCAAGGTCCAAGCAAACAGAACCAAGCTCACCAGTGGCTCCTCATAAAGTTTGACAACTCAAAACTCCCCACACAACAGTGGTTAACTGTTTTTCTTTGCTGTTTCCATACACTGCTTCAGCCAAGCCTGGTAACTACAGCCTCCACACTGGACTACAGCTTCGCGTGATTGCCTCAAAACTCAATAGGAGGGATCCTCCACATGAAAAAAGTCCAGAACTAATTGTTCCGCCCTCGCCGCGTCCCCGTTGCGGCTAGACAGACAGACAACTCCTTCAATGACCACACCGTTGATTTTTCCAGCGATTTATTCATCAGCGAGTCAAGAAGGTGTAAAAAGGCTGTGCTTGGCCTACGACACGAAGATGCAGTCCATCGTTCGGAGGTCCCGGTGCAACGTTAAACAGGAAGTGTCTCACAACGTCCGGTGTGCCCTTCACAATAACGAGTTGACCTTACAAAATAAAGCAGCTCTGTAGCTATAGAAAATAGGAAACAAATGTTAAATGGCTCTTCAGGAGCCAGAACACTAATGTAGCTTGCATGCACCATCTGTCCGTATAGCGTGTTCCAAGTTTTATTTTTGACAGTTGCCATCCTTTCAAGTTAAACCTGCAAGGTTCCCCTTGCCTTTTAGCTTCCAATTACAGAGTTCTTCGAGGCCAGGGAGTCTCCTGACTCCAGGCGACACTAATTGCAATAGAGGATCAGGAATTATATGTTGCTGACATACATCTTGCTCCATGTTCATTTAGGAGGCGCGTCTGATGAAGGAACAACTGCCAATGTCAAAGTACAGTGTTGTAAAGTACTGGAGTTAAGCAATACTTGCTAAAATCAATGTGAATAAATTATGAGGAAGAACCTACCGGTATGTTCGACTGTTTTATGTTTCTATCGTGTATGACTGCATATTTTTAAAGGAAGTGAAGACATGACTTCGCGCACGTGCACATACAGTGCATATATGGATACTGTAACATAGCTTGTCTTGCCTTAAAATGCTTGTTTGGTATTGCTGTTTTTCACAGTGAAATGACACATGTGATCCTGATTAACCCTTTCTGGGACAGCGGTCACTAAAGTGGACAGTTTATCATGTTATCAGGTTACAAGTTGCATGAAAGGGTTAAGAACAAGTGTAAAAGTCCACTAATATCATCTAGCTCACTGTATCTACTTTAAGTACATGAAGGTACATTACTTTGACTGAAGGATTCGAGTTTGGATGGTCCATCTTGACATGGAGCACTTGTGGTAGCCCAATAGCCGTCAGACTTACAACAGGAAGGGTCATCCCAACACCTAGTGACCCAGTCCAGTTCTCCACAACTGGTGCAAAGCCGACAGAGTCAAAAGGACCTTCGTGATTTGGGCAAAGATAGTCCTGCTGCAGATGTGCTTGACAATCTTAAAGCTGATTGGGAAGTTCTTTCATGTCCTCCCCTTGTCAGTGAGCCTCCACTTGCCAGTGACAATACACCAGACTGCATCGGGACTTTAGCAGGTGTGTCGAAGGAACGTCCTTCGTGAGTCCCATTCTCATTTCTTTTCTCTCTCTTTGTCTATCCTAAAATAGCTCCAACCCACTAAAGTCTATAAGCAGCCTCCACTAAGCTTCTTATGAGAGAGTCTTGCTCTCTTGGAGCACGGGAGGTCAGCAGAACCAACACAATGGTAACATACAATTACAATAGGATCAAAGGAAGGGTGATCTAATGAAAATACTGTATTGGTCAAAGAAAGATTATAATATCAATATTCTATATTAAGTAACATTCACAAATGAATGTCCATTTCAACAACTTACAGAAGATTTGACAGCAAGCACATTTGAAAAAAAATATGCGTACTTACAGCATATGGATGTCAAAATGTGGTGGTCAATACCACATGACACAGTAAGACGTTAGACAAATTGATGAGTCCAGGAAAGGAATCAAGCAGATTAAGAGTAGATGTAGTTAAACACAGCACTGAATCAGCCCTCTTAAAAATCACCAATGACCTTCTTATGGCAGCAGATGCCGGTTTAATCTCAATACTCATTCTCCTTGACCTGAGTGCAGCTTTCGATACAATTTCCCACCCCATCCTCCTAAATAGACTCCATAGGCATCACTCACACCCCCTTACACTGTCTTCACTCCTATCTCTCCGGGCGTTCTCAGTTCATCCAACTCAATTCCTTCACTTCACAGTCCCTCCCTGTCTCTTCCGGTGTGCCCCAAGGCTCTGTCTTGGGACCCCTCCTCTTCATTATTTACCTTCTCGCCCTTGGCAATATCTTCCGTAAATTTGGTATACACTTTCATTGCTTCGCGGATGACACCCAGCTCTACCTCTCCAGCAAACCCAACGCATCCCTCCCACCCTCCTCCCTCTCACACTGCGTTTCAGAAATTAAATCTTGGTTCACACATAACTTCCTCAAACTTAACAGTGACAAAACAGAACTCCTCCTCGTCGGTACCAAATCCACCCTACACAAAACCAACAGTTTTTCTCTCAGTAT